TACACTTTGGAGGCTCTACCATGTAACAGGTAAACAGTGTAATACAGGAACAAGCAATAAAGAAGCTTATCTTCAGGGTGAACCTGCATGAATATCCTCGGCTAAACTGTCCTTTTTTAATTATCAAATATAAAAGCATTTTTTGGAAATAGACACTTAAACTTGTTTTTTTCTATTGTCAGTTTATCAACTTGTGCTTCTTTTTTTTTTTCTTTTTACAAAGCAAAGAAAATCATCGTGATCCGACATGATGACAAACCATTTCAGTCAAAAAATGTGACACCTCTGATATTGTGCATAGATAACAGTGATTGGTGCTGAACTGTTTTTGGGTGGAGATAAAATGTATTAATAAAACTGCAACTATCCCGAATATCACGTAAAGCAGTGAGAACTGGTTTTCAGTTAATTTACCTGGTAAAATAAAGTTTAAATAAATCACATAAGTGCTCTAATAGTACACGTAAGTTAGTGGTTTATTTATTGTTAGTTACTGTAATGTTGCAGTGCTTTATTTGGTTAATCGTTCAGTCTGTGAAGAAGGCATTCAAGTAAGAATTGCATTGTAGTATGACTCATTTCCTGGCGCGTACAATTTATATTAGGTCAGCATTCACGGTTCGACTTCTGATATTCAGATCGAGTTCTAGGTCAAACTGCTTTGTTCGACTTTCAAGAAATTCGAGTTCTAGTGAGTTCGAGAACCGAGGTACCACTGTGTAGTGTTTCCCAATCTGGTCCTCGGAGGCTCACAGATGCACTATGTTTTTGTCCCTCTAAGCTCCCTGCCAGGCAGTCTGCATTTTTGGAGCAAAAACATGGACTATCTGGAGGTCCCCCAGGACCGGGCTGGGAAACACTGGGTTAGTAGATTGATAAATGTAACTGTTTGATTTTTTTCCTGAGGCAGAGCAGGTCAGCCAAGATTGTGATTTGGTGGGCCAGCCTGGAAATACTTCAGTCAGTACTGTACTTGCCCACAGAAGATCAGGCCACCACAGGCTGTGTAATAGAGCTCAGAATAGCCAGGGTTTGCTGATAGATCTTCATGTCATTCTCCTGCTTGTTCTCCATCAGATAGTGCTCTGACATCTGGACTGAATCATCCTGTTGGTTTCAGACTTCATGACCAGGACTCAGTGTATCCGTAAGGATCAGGTGTGATGTCCAGTCAGACAATGGTGTGACAGTAAGACTACATTCATCTCCACACATAGAGGGTAGCTCAGGGTTTGGCAGTTTCTTTCTGAGACACCATTGCTGACCTTAGGGATGACAGGCCGGTAATGAGGGTGGTGTACATTCACACACAGTGACAGGTTCAAACTGATGACATTCTGTTTCCAGCCTGGAAGCACGCTGACTCACCCTCTGGGAGCACCTCCATGGGAATGGAACTGGAAGAACCAGCAAAACGGGTACGGCCATCGGCAATGGATCCAGCCCCTGCCTGAAGAACCTTAACCCTGGGTCTCATCAACTTGGACGGGAAGAATCCTGCATGTAAGTGAGAGCCTGTCCTGTTTGCAAAGCCATCAGTCCCATAAATCTCAGTCTTATAATTGTTTTTAATAGCAGATAATTTCAGCCAACTTAAAACCATGTATCCAGTTCAGGGCACTCATTATGGGCAGTTTAGAAAGAGCTTTTTGCACAATGAAAACAGAGCAGCCTGAGAAACCCCCCGAGCCACCCCCCCACAATGGAAGTGTGAGGCAGTACTGGTATGTGCTGGCGTAACACTACACAGGGGGGTCTTATGCAGAGTTTTAAAGATGTGCTTTTGCCATTTATCCGTAATTTATACATTTTACTGAAGTCATTCACGCAAGCCCCCCCACATCGAGGAATGTGATACCCTCTTTTACAAGTTTGTCAACCGGTGTGTGCCCTCCTGGTGAAAGTATAGCATGCGTGTCTGGGAATGAGAAAAGATGAGCTAGCTTTGGGCCAGGGAGTTTAATCTGGAAGAGGTGCATTGAGAGGCTACATTCATCAGCTGGACCATGTTGGCAGTCATCAGCTTCACTCAGAAATGGCACTGCAAAGCCTGGCTCATTCTTCAGCTTTCGTGACTGAAGATTCCCAGGGACCCTGTGACCCTGACCAGGCTAAGATGAAAGAATGCATTTTTAAAATATTTAATGTAATGACTGTGCATGGTTTAAGTGGTGGTAAATACTGCCACTGCCCACAGGAGCTGTTTCACCTTATTTTTAATAGAATTACTTAAGCAAAATAAGCGCACAGTCCTCCCGACTCGCTGACACCACATTCCCCAACATTACATCACCTCCGATACACGCCTGTCTAATCTGGCAATCGGTTTGTTTATCTCGCTGGCGCCGCCCTCTGGCTGTGGGGACCATCTGTCCACCTCCACACAGAGCTGGGAAGGTCGGGGGTCTGCTTTTAGGCTGTGAAACACGGCAGGCTGGTCCCCCCCACCAACTCTCTCTTTAACACCACAACCTCCGGCCCTGTGGTGCCCCCATCTGGCAGGTCGGGCACGGCCTGGCTCTGTCCACCAGCTTCTGCTCACATTTTGGGTGTATTGACGCCAGCTTTTTAGTGTCACGGCTTTCTAGCACCCCCTTTTGAGGAATCACAAAACTGAGCCTTTCCAGAAGATGACGCCATTGGTTTTGGGTCATGTGCAGACCATGAGATGGCAGTGAACACATGCAGGCACAGACACACCTTTCAGCAGCATTTTAGTCACTGGCCACACATTACTCTGCTCTGAGTCTGCCAAAGGCTCCCACAAGAGAAAAGCTAACTGCAGCTTCAGTTTGACACATCCATCCATTTCCTGGAGCTTATCCCAGCCTGAATGAGTTAGGGGCACACCCTGGCCAGGAAGCAAGTCCCTCACAGGGTCAGACATCAGTCTGCATAACTGCATCTCTTTGTAGTGTCATAGGAAACCAGCACACCATAGAGAGAACATACCAACTGCACACAGACAGAACAGAGATGCAATTCAAACCCACAACTCTGGAGCTATGAGGCAAGAGTGCTGTCCACTGAGCCAGCAAAAAGCAGGTAGAGATGATCACAGACTGCTGTGTTTAGCACAGCCTGGAGTTATAGCAGAAATAGTGACGAACGTATTCCAGAAGCACTGTGCCACCTTCCACTGCTTCACTAGTAACATCTCAGCAATGGTGCAATGGCCCTGCAGTTCCCATGAGCCCTTGAGTAATAGGTGAAATAATTGCTTCTCTGATTGGCCTAATTTTAACCTTGTCTCTGCCGTGGAAGCCGCTAGTTGTTTAGAGTTTTTGTCCATCAGGACTGAGGAACATGATGTGTAAAACACCCCCTTCTGGCCAAAAGAAAACATAACAGGACCCCACCCACACATCCTGACTTGGACCATCGAACTATCAAAGAGTTTTAATGACGAGGCAAATCTTCCCTGAGTGATATCTATGTGTGGTCGTGACCTTTGACCTTGAATTCCTGACTGTCTACTATCAAACAAGTGCAAAGACAGGAAATGCAAATATGCAGCAAAGGTAACGACACAGAACAGGACAGCTAAATCCCACATCAGGAAGGGGGCTGCTTTGTATAGTCATAGATGAGAATGCTGTCTTTTACACTGTTAAATGTTATGTAAATCTGTATCTGCTCTGATTACACCAGCTCTGCAGGGTGCAAAAATTTTAATCTGTGATTATCGACCTGAAGGTCCCCATGTAGCACGTGATATTTCAGAGGAACAGCTGCTCTTTCTCCAAAGTGTAAAACTAGCTGAGGACTTGGGGATGGTGGGTGGCACATTGGGTTAGGCCCCTATGTCTGTGATCAGAACGTCACTGGTCACTGGTTAAAATACCATGTTTGGCAGGGTAGTCACATCTCTGCTGGGGCCTTGAACAAGCCCCTTAACCCCCCTGAAAGATACTCTGGGGGTACCAGATAGATGAATGATCCTGTGCTCAGTCTCAAAGCTTTACTCTTGTGTTTCTCTCAAAGGAGAGGAAGAAGGGCAGGTGAAAACCAACACTTTCCCACGCTCATAATTGTGCAAATGGCAAATAAAGCATAATTTCTCCTTCATGAATTTCAGTGTCATCACTACATGGGAAACCTTCCCACAAGCTTCTGGTTGGGGGGGTGCTGGCCTACATACCAAAAAGCTCACCACAAGCAAGCCTGATTTGTTACAGTTGTGGGAGGGGGGGGTCATATAACTAAAAAATACTTTTCAGAAAAGGGGGAGCTGATGTAAACCTGAGCACCTGTGTGGTGGTAGGGATGTAACCTAACTCAATATTTTTGCACATCCAGTCAAAGGTCAGCAAACGAGCCTCAAAGACTAATAGGCCGCACTTCTACAGTGCCTTGTTAAAGCACAAAGTGGCGAAGGCTGATGATGGCCAGGTTGTAGCAGGTCTGGCGGCAGCATGCAGGCTGGATGGCTCTTTCCAGATAGCGTGGATTTCCCTACCAGCACCAATACAACACCTCTATCTTTTGCCTCTGATGGTCCCGCTCGGTCCACACACGGTCGCCAGGTTGCATTTTCCCAAATAAGAGGTTCTGTCCTCGATTGGGCTCAGGACCGTGTGCAAAGGGGGGGGGGGGGGGGGCACCGCTCAGTGCAGCCCAGCGGCATTCTAGGTCTGGCAGTCAGATACAACCACATGGTTCTTCTGCAGCTGCTACTAAATGGGATCATGTGAGGATGCAGACCTCCAGAGAAGTGCTTTTCAGGGTGCTCCAGTTTCACCGGCCCATAATTCGTCACTGCAGGTTTGGGGCCCTCAGCCACCAACGACACCCCGACAGACTATATCTGGCTCAGGTAATCCCCCTTGGGTATGGAAGGGCCAGCAGGTAGTTCAGTTGTTAAGGAGCCAGACGTAGTTCTCAGAAGGGGGCTGGTCTTCTGCATGGTCCTTGAGACTGTCTCAGCATCCCCCTCCCCCACCGCCCCACAATGCACTGGTGCAAGAAGTGCAGAAAGAAGACCACTTTTCACCACAGAAGAGAATCATCAGTAAGATTTATTGGAGCTAACACCTTACTGGGTGGGGGTAGCTCAGGACCTGGTCTTCATTCTGGCCCTGCCCCCCCGCCTAAAGTGATGTCACATATTGCAGAACAAGTGCTGGGGGTGGGGGGGGCAGCCGTTAGTGTTAAAGCTGGAGGACTCCTGGCAAAGCCCCCCAACCAGACACAATTACACACGGCTGTTAGCATTTAACCAAGCGCACCTCTGTACAAACATACTGATGATAAGGATGATGATGATGAGGAACAAGGAGAAAACAAACGAAGAAAATCCAAAATTGATTCCAAGGGACAGCGCCAAGTCCTGGAAACCCCGCAGATCCGTCACCATTCCCCATGGCGCAAATGCTCGCATTTTCCACTCCGAAAGCACAAAACAGAAACAAACGAAGGCAGGCAGGGCGCAGGAGAGAGAGCTGGCGCTAGCGCCAATGTGGCCAACAGCAGCGTCCGACACCACATCCGCCACGGGCAAGAAGCATTGGCGGGGAGGCTCCCATTCACAAAATGATACTCTCCTTTTCTAAAAACAGTTTTATATTCAAACTCTCCTCTGTCCAATAGACATGTGTCGCCCCCCGGAGGACGCGGTGTGTGTTTGCACGCGTCTGTTCTTTGTGCCTCTCAAAAGAGTCCTTCAGACGGTCTTCCTGGAGGTGAGAACCCGGACGATGGATCCTAAGCCGCCAACTGCAAAGGCCTGTGAGCAAAAGGATAAAGAAAACAATTCTGAGAACAGGATAAATGCCTAACCCCCCCCCCACCCCGCCACATGGTCTGTTTGTCGTGCCAGCTATGTCCCACGAGGGAGGACTGCCTCTCAGAGACTCTGCCTCGACAGGAGTCGCAGGAATCAGAGGGGAGCCAGATGCAGCCCTGGCATGTCTTTGTTTGGACCACAGGAACATCAAAAGTCCAAAAACTTCAGGCTCCCACTGAGTGACACCTCACGTCCAGTCCTGACGGATCAACCTGAGACATGATGACCTGGACCCCAACCCTGGTAGGAACGGGGACTGAACTCTGTGTGTGTGACATACTCTGCGTGACTGACTCTGTGAGTGACTGACACTGTGTGAACGACACCGTGTGTGACTAACACCGTGTATGATTCAGTTTGTGTGACCGACTCAATATGTGTGACTCTGTGTGACTGTGTATATGAGGGACTGAGCTGTATTGGCATCCGCACCCTTCCTGATATGGCCCCCAGGCAGCCTGGCTGGTCAGCAGGGGGTTGGGCAGGAATCCAGCAGGAATTCAACACCCGCTGCCATGTGTGAGGAATGTCACCATGGAAGATGGGATTCCTGCACCAGCCCAATGTACAGGGGTCTGTCAGACACTGTGGCAAAGTCCCCCCCTCCCCGCTAGGGGCACCCACCTTCTCATGCCACTGCAGCAGGATGGCGCTGCTGTTGTCGGAGGGCTTCTCGAAGCCCCTGTAGATGTACTTCATGAGCAGGTCCACGCCATTCCTGTCCAGCGAGCGGACGGCCTGCTCAATGTCACCAGCCCTGAATGATGTCAGCACCTTCAGCACAATGGCCTGGGCGCGCTCCTTTAGGGAGGTGGAGAAGGGGGCGGGGAAGGGGAGGAGGAGACAGGAAGAAGGCGGGGACAGGGAGGAGAATGCCGTTTACCGTGGGTCAGAATGTGGGGAGGAAGCAGTTATGGCACGGCTATATCTGTACTATCTACCTGACCAGGGCTCTACTGAGAAGCTTTTATGAAAACCTCTAACTACCTGCTCTGGGAGGATCAGAGAGAGCTACTGATAGCTGACCAGCGACTGGCTCCAACAAGAGTGATCGATGGTTTATAGCATCATGGCTGCTGGTGCAGATGTGAGTTACAAGTCGACTTCTGCATTCAAACCCATAACAACAGTCATATCATTAAGCAAGCCAGAGGAGAACCGTCTCAACACGACTGCAAATTAGGACTAATGACCAGTGTGATCACCACCTGCAGGACTAACTCAGCACAGCCAGGGCCAACAGGAACATGGTTACCTTAACAGCCGGGTTCTTCGTATTGATTGGAGGGTTCCTCAGGGCGATGTGGAAGGCGGTCATCATGTCCCCAGTGCATCACGGCTCATTAAGGAACCAGCAAAGTGCAACAACGTTCAGGCGGAGATGGGGCCATGGACACTTACTGCCACCACACAGAAGCGCGATGTTCAGGCACATACAACCACATGTCTGACAACGTCAGGAAGACTGGGGCATCCAGTGGAGGTCTTTCACCTTCCCCAAAAAAGGACACATGCCACTTTCACTGCTACACAAATTAGCAGGTAGGAAATGCAGATGCAAGTGAGAAAAGCAGCTTTGATTTGAACAGCCAGCTTCTAACTAGGACCCTTTGTAATCAGCTAAGGAAAAGAACGGCTTAGTAAGTGTCAGGTTCTTCTACTGAGTGAAGGAGGCTAAGGTATCCAGGCCTTTTGAATAGTGAAAATTAGCGCTGAGGTGCCTAGGGCACCACCTTCTAAGGGGGTGCTGACTTAGCAAGCCAATTTCACTTGGTCTTGGACAGGATGAAGCTCGCCGAGTGTTCCACATGGGGTCTGACCAGCCCTGGCTGATTCAATGGGGGTGGAGCCAAAGAGTAGGGGCTGCTGGGTAACCCCAGGGTGTGTCACAGCAACTCCACCCACCAAGAGAGCTAGGCCACCTCGCCTATGAGCAAGACCGAAGTTACCATGAGCAGTAAACACGTTTCTGAGGCTGCACGCTCGTGTGATTTACGAGTACAAACCTGTCACACAGACTGTAGGCAGGACCCCAGCATCGGTGAACAAGCTGGAATCCTCGCCGGTGCACATTCCTCTGGGGCTGGTTTAACCTCCTGGCTGGGTCTGACCCAACCGGCCACGTTCTTTAAATCCATGCTCCGCCACACGTTAACGCACTAAAGGAGGCCTCCTTGCCTGTCTCGGTTGACAGGAATGGGTTTTGCACAGAAATGCCTTCTATTTAAAGGTTGAAGGACAGCCTGTATGTGGGTGACAGGCAGGCCGACAGGTCGAACGGGAAGAACGAACTAAGCATCTGCTGTGTGATCCAAACTACACCAGGAGCCGGCGTTTACATCGGCTAAAAAACGTCAGCGGGCCAGAGACACCCAAAAAAACAAGAAGCCACACTGTCGCATATGTCAGTGTAACCATACATATCATCCTGCAGCACATGCATGCACACAAAGATTAGGTACCTATAACTTTGTGGGGACTCTCCATTGATTTCTATGGGCACAACTCTAATCCCAACAATGATAACCTTAACCACTAGCCAGCCCTAACTTTAACCATAAGTAACCAAACAAAATGCAAGACTTTCGGCATTTCTAGTTTTTTGATTGCAGTCACAGATTTTTATTAATTTATGATGACCGGGAAAATGTCCCTACAATGTCAAAATAGCAGGTTTTTATCACTGTGGGGGCATCTGGTTCCCACAATGAAATATACACATAACCTCCCCCCCCCGCCACACACACACAGACAGACACAGAAGCCCTGGTCCAGGACACAACTTCAAACTCAGAGGCAGATGTCCAGTAGCAAAACCATGCCAGCAACACACTTCCTGTTCTGTTCATCGTCCCACAAGGATACAGCAAAAGGTCCATAAATAGGACAATGGCACTGTAATGTGTGCGTGTGTGCCCATGCACGCACATGCGTGTAAATGTGCATATGTGTGTGCGTGTACCACTTGTAACAAAAGTGTGTCTGAACAACTATATATTTTTGAAGTGTCACCTTGGATAAGCAGATTCAGTACACAGAGCACCCCAACAGGGGTCAGGGTGAGTGAGGAGCCCCCTCTACTTCCCACCCCTCCACTGCCCCACAAAGATGTCCCAGATAGCTTTGAAAGAAACTTATTTTTCTGTGCCATGATGAGAGAGTGAGAGAGACAGAGAGAGAGGGAAAGTAATTATGTACAAATGATAAGGTGTAGGCTGCATGGCATATTCCCGCCCTGGGTACGTGGCCCGAGCGGCGCTATCACACTGACCCAGGTGCCCGCCCGTCGGGCGACTGCCATCTCGCCCCACCTTGTCAATATGGGGATAACGTGGAAAGCCAGCCAGCCGCAGGCAAATCCATCACCTTGACAGCCTTGTGTGCCCCGCCCAGGGCCCCCCTTGATACGGCCCGGCCATGACCTCATGATGACCTGCTCTGGCTCACCAGCCCAAAATCAGGACAGGGAGAAATACTAAGCGGCAAGCCAGGTCATTCTTCGTTCAAAGTCTCCAATTACCACCATCACCCCCCATCACGGAAGCCGAATGACCCGCTGAGATACAGATAAATCTATTCAGAGCCCTTATTTATGGTGACATTCCTGATTTGACTGTTTATGTCTTCCCAGAAATCTTCTTTGAATACATATGTAATTACTATAACAGACTATCAAATACAACAAAAATTACTACATTAATACAAAGTGAGGGCAAATGGCACACATTTTTAACCTACTGGAGATGCCAAGATTCCAGGTGAGGTGTGAGAAGTGATCCAGAATATGCCAGCAGGTCGCAACCATCGTGATGCCTGACTGTGCCAGATCTCTCCACCACTTAAACCCTCAATACACTATATGCAGCTGTAGAGGAAAGCCTGCTACCATTTCTATAGCAACTCAAAAACTTCACCTGAAACTACTTCTGGAGCAGGAGAGCAGAATGAGAGAGTAAATCGGGACAAATCTGTAAATCTGTGCAGATCGGAATAACGTCCACGGGTGTGAACTAGACAGGTCGCCCACGGCGGAAAGTGATTCTAATAGTGTTAATGACACGTTTATATACACAAACTGAAGCTGATTCATTTCTTTATATAAATGAGCTGATACTAAGCTTTGGATTTTATTAAAACATGAACGTAATGTAGTCTAAAGCGCTTAAACATATCCCGTTTAAACCGTAAAGAAGAATTTATGTAAATACTTTACCACAGCTGGGTATGACACAAAATAAGCAACCATGCCTCATTGTGAAATGACCTCTAAATTTCCTCTGCAGTGAACTGACGTCTCTTTTCAGAGAAGTGGGCCGACCTGTTTCTAGTCGGGGAACTGCAGGTAAGTCACCTGAAAGCTCGCTACCTGGCCGGCGGCAGCGCGGTGCGGATTGAACACAGGACAGTTCTGTGTGCAGTTTGCGATCAGCCTGCTGGCGTGCTGCTTAAAACAGGCACCGAGCCCCGTCCGGACATATTTTAAGAGGTTTAACGAAAATGCCGGGTGTGCATGCAACTGCAACCGCTTTCCATGGAACGATTCCCCAAACAGCCGCTAAATTCAGCACCGCCGTGCAGCAGCCGGACCGGTCCGCTTGTCTATGGAGCGACGAACCCGGCGCCACATTAACCTTTTAAGGACCAGCATGTGACAGATCGAGGTTTATGTGCAAGGACTGTTGGGTCCGACATTTAGCAGTGCGCCAACGGGTACCGGGCACCAGCACCCCGATTAGAGAGACGCACTTATGCGCTGACATTATACGCGTATATAAATATACGTGCTGTTCTGTCGGTATGTCTGACGACTCTCCGGTAAAGGATATTTCCTGATCAGGTTGTCCACCTCGGCGGAGTCCGGTCCGAGGTGCTCCGCCGCCTCATCCTGATCGTCCACGAATTTGTTTTCGTCGTACTCGTCGATGTCCACCCTGCGAAACCGCGACGACAGCGTGTTCTTCGCCATTCGGGCCGGTGGCCGTGCGCTGAGCCCGGGCGGACGAGAGTAAGTGCCGCAGTCGGGCGTAGCAGCGATCCGGTACGGCACTGATCGCGGATAGAGCCGGGGAGAGCGCGGCTCCCGAGTGCTGCGAGCGGCTGCCTGGGTCTCTGCGTGCGCACTTACACACTCACACACATATACACAGTCAGTCAGTCACTCACTCCCTCCCCTCCTTCCCCCTCCCTCCTTCACTCACTCTCTTTTCGGGATCTGCGACTGTCCCAGCTGATGGTGTTCACTGCGGAAACGGAATTACCTCACGGCCCCGGTCCAGTGTCTAAACTCTCAGGACAGATGCAGCGGGATGTTTACCGGTGCCCTAGAGTCCAAACAAAGCACCTGGATCAGCAACGCATCCCGGTGCGGAACTGGGGACGCGGTAACACCGGCGCTCATCGCATTATAGAACCCATTATATATTATATATGCATATACATATATCAAGGACGTAGATTTGGGTATGGATGGTTAGAACATGTCCCGACCAATATTGTTAGAGTACCGTGTGTGTTTATGGGGACGGGGGGTTTCGGATTGATTTGGTCCGCAACAGTGTTGAAATCAAATCCACGCCCTTGACACAACCACACACACACACTGACATTGCGATTTGTAACATGGATGGACGGAGATACAAAATGCTTAATCAGCTTAGAATAAACAATTATGAGTAAGCACTTTTTGCCCCAGTATGTATGAAACCTGTTATCGTTCAAAACTTCAGAGAAAACCGGGCAACCTGTCATTCATCACAGCAGACACGGAGAAGTAATAAAAAAATCATCTCCCAGTTTAATCAACGCCTTGCAGTGCTGTACAGCTCAGTACGTTTCTCTCAACTATCTATTCTTTATAACCAGACAGGTAGACCTGCACAGCTGCGGTTGGTTCCATTAAACGAGCAGGCGCCCCCACCCCCGTAGAAATCCCTTGATAGTGCCCCCTCTCGGCAATACTCCGCAGCACCACCTGACCCTGTTTAGCTCCTCCCCCGGGTGCCTAGCAGCTTCTTCCTTTTACTGCCAGCCAGACAAAATGGTGAGGCGTCCACCGCTTTAATGTAAAGCGATCCTTCGCCATGCAGATAATAAATCTCCGTAGGATCGACGGGGATCGGGAGTTGAAAGCCATGCCAAGGCGCCCGGGTGAATATTAAACCGACCTCATTTCTCATTTTTAAAGCAGAAAAATGTAGGACCTCACTGAACTAGGACTTTGTATGCATGCGCGGATTGTTTTTTTTTCAATACGGAAAGAATTTTAATTGTTTATTCGTTCAGACATGCATTCTTATTTGTCCTTAATTCGATATCTAACGACACTCAGGGTTTGTGCTCTGAACAGCCACCTGTTACTTTACTGACCTCATCCAAATGCTCGTATAACATCCTGTATGTCCGTTTAAATTAATTCTGTATCTTATATTATGAATGTAAAACTGCGATATGTAAGTTCTGGGCACAAGCTTGACTAACACGGTTTCCAGTACGAGAGCTGGTCATCGTAAATCCCATACTTTATATCAGGCGCCATGTTTGCAGTACAACTTAAGTTTTAGATGAAGCGGGAATCAGTGTAGTTGATTTCAAAAACGTACATGTTGCAGGGTTATGCCTGAATTGTGATTTACCTCAGTAAATATCAGCACTTGAGTGAACAAAGACTAAGTGCCGTGCTCGGGTCGTAGTGTAACCACTGCCGGAGAGGCCGGTGTGCAGTCTAGCTTATGATAAAAAAAAAAGCAGTTAAATTTAATACTTAAAGTAAATGTACTGGCCAGGCTTGTAAGTAGTACCTTCCCATGCAGTAAAATTTCAAGGCCCCTGATCTGTGGAACAGGAAGGAGGAGGATGTGATCAAACAGCTGGATGACTTAAAGATGGAGCTGTCCCACCAGCCTGTCTCTACGGTAACTGGGGATGGGGGCTGCCTGCAAGTTGTCCAAGATATGAGTGATATGTATGAACTGCATACACATATCCAGGATGGTGGGGAGTAGTGTCTCTGGGTAGGTTGTTGTGTGTTTTGCATGAAGCAAGTAGAGGAGACTTCACGGCATAGTCATTGGTGCTCAGAGCGTTACTGAAAGACTTTAGGTTCAGATTGCTGATGTCAAAGCAAAGTGCTGCCTGTATAATTGAATTCCCTCCATAAAAAATGCCGCAATGATGTGTCTAACCTCATAGCTAGGGATGATGTTCCAAAACTCACTCAAGCACTTGATATCATTACCAGACTTCTGCTGGTCCTTCCATGACTAAGGCGAGACTAAAGGGGGACATAATCCAGGTATAGATTTTAACAGTTCTGGATGCTGTTCAACCAGATAGTTACTTCAATATTGGTTCAAATAACAGAATTCATGGCCATAGGTGGAAATTGGCAGGAGAACATTTTACACTGGATTTGAGAAAGCACATCTTAACACAGCGTGTGGTTCGAGTATGGAATTGTCTTCCTGTTAGGTTTTAGCCTGCACTACACTTTATGTTCCTTAAGGGGGTTGTTGATTAGATATTGTCGTGTCTGCGAGGATGAACTGGAGCTGATGCCATTGTCCCGGGCGTCATTAGAGATTTTGGGCCCTCAACCCAGACCAATCCAACTATGTTCCAAATTTGCCACGTCATTCTAGCACTACTATCATGGCAACATGTACTCATGAGGATGTGCTGCTGCTGAACCTGGTCATGGATTCCAGTCAGTCTTGGTGTATTTGGGGTGCATTTTGGACCTTGGAAGATGGGTCTGCCAGGTTGTTAACGGCATGCTGTTCTGTTATCCTGCAAGACCATCACCCAGTTCTGCTCCTCACTCCCATGGAGACAGTGTGAATATATTCTTGCTAAATTGATCCTTCTGCCCTCCATGGTGAGGAGGATGGCCGGTCCTTCCAGAGGGTCACCATTTTGGCTTGTGAGTCTGGAAACTCGGCCAACAGGTTTAGGCTCTTGGTGTGCTACAGATGGCTTATCGGCAGGTGGGAAATTATATCAGAAGTTTAAGCAAAAATTTAACTGTTAGTTTGTGCAGAATTCATGAATATTTATATATTTTCTCCACCTTTTTTTGGTATGCCACATCATGCTTTATATCTTTGGTAGCTGCATTGTCCGCAAATCCATGGCCAGAGTCCTGTCTGTTATCCACCAGGCTCAGGAAGAACTTGAGGAAGCTTTATAAGGTACTCCCGTACTGCATGGATTTCCTGGGTCATACGCCCCCCTGGCCCACCTTTGGGTTGTCTTCTGCTTGTTCACACAGACCCTTCCATCTGTATTGACTTGAAATATTTAAGAATAAAGTCAAACATTTCATGGTCAACCCAGGTTTTGGATGGATGCATTTCATTTGGCTGACTAAGAGTTTTGAAGCACATGTCTGTTCTGCAAGACCATCACCCAGCTCTGCTCCTCACTCCCGTGGAGTCGGTGTGAATATATTCTTGCTAAATGAATCCTTCCACCCCCCCCACCCCCCACCCCATGGCGGAGAGGGTGGCTGGTCCTTCCAGAGGGTCACAGTTTTGGCTCATAAATCTGGAAACTCAGCCAACAGTGTTTCTCACGCTGACACCCAGCATGTATTGGGTGAAGTTTTTTTTTTTGAAGGCCTGTCAGACTGCCTGGACATCTTGTTTATTTTCATTGTTTGATTTCAGGGTAAAAGGTCCAAGCCAAGCCTCTGTATCTGAGGCCCAAGAAGATGCGGGTAATACGGCGACGACTGAAGCTGCATAGGGAGAGTTTGATGACCAAGGAAACGCAGTGGATGTTACGACTGTATTCTACCCGTATGTTTGCAGTCAAGATGTAAAGAACCTGAAAATGACATTTCCATGTAAATATATGGTGAACTAAGCAAAAGTAGGACAGCACTAAAGTCAAAAGTAAACAAAAAACTTAATATATTTTTTCAAAAATGTGCTTTATTTTTAAAACAATCTCCAGCCCCCTTTTAATAAAATTCATCTGAAACAATGTACCCATTATATGCTTCAAGCAGCATAAGGCAAAGCTTAATTGTCTCACTTTACCTGATGTCCGACTTTTGCTGAACTCACCCTACTGTATGGAATAAAGTGAAAGAAAGTGCCTCTTGATTCTTGATCCTGCTGCTCTTTGGGCCATCTCAGTCAGTGTGTAATCCAGCTCTGCGCTCTGGCCTCCTTGGAAGGGACTCCTGTACATCTGCGGCTTGTATTTTGATGAGGAGATAGAGGATGGGTGGATGGATGGTTTGAGGGCTTTTTGGACAACTGGTCAGGATTGCAGATGCAGTGTCTCTGGTTATGGTGGGTGTCCTTTCTGTACTTGCTGAATAAAGATTATGAAATCTACCATACAGTGGGTCTCTTGATTGCCTAGCAAAGAAGCATGCTAAGCATGTCCTGTCAGGGTCCCCTCTGTCCTCCATGTGAAATCTTCACAACTTCATGTTCTCCTCTCGCCATCCTGTCAGCAGCCCCTGTGCATTAAACAGCAGTCTTCTGTTATTTATCTAAGCAGTCAAACTTTAAGGAAACCAGCAAACTAATTCATCCATAGATGGAGTGGTCAGACGGTCAGGTCTCCCTGCCGGTGGATGAGGCCCCCGGCTGCCGATGCGTTGGGGGTTCTCGATGTCCGGGGCTGTGTGTGCTTGGTGTGTGCTGGCTCACTCTCGGCGGTTGCCTGCCAGGGCCTGGCCCTTCCGGCTCTGTCGGGGCCCGGGGCCCGGTCTGCCCTGGTGTGGCCGGCCGCCGGCGGGGCCTTCGTGCTCGCCGCCACGGCCCCCTGGGGCTCCTGCGATGTGGCTGCCGGATGGCCCCCCTCCGGAGCACTCCTCTGCCCTTTTTTGGGTGTTGGCTGCAATTGTCCCTGCGGTGGTCCTCCTGGGGTTCCCGTGCCCTGGGGGGCCTCTGGATGTCTAGGGCCCGGGTCTCCTCCGTGTCGACTTCATGTCCTGGGTGGGCGGAGCTATGGCTCCCCACACACACTACTAGATATTTACATGGAGAAACCTTAGGAACACCAGCGCGCTGACACACACAGGTGTGCACACAGGTGCTCACGGACACGGGCTCACGGACACACACTGTCTTGATCGGCTGTTGCTTCTGGGCATGTGTTGTAATGCTGTTTGTGCGTGCTGTTCAACAACATTTAATGTTTGGTGGTCGTTGCGATTAGTACAGATGTTGTATGTTGTCTTTCTCTTTTCAGCAGACATGGAAACAGATTATCTGTTTTGTTTTTTTCTTTTCTCTCCTCTCTCTCTCCCTTTCTCTCTTTCCCCCTTCTTCTCCTTTGTTTCCCCCCTTCTCTCTCCCTCGCCTTCTCTTGAGGAAGTAAATAAAATAAAAAAAATAATAATAAAAAAATTAAAATAAAATAAATAAATAAAGTAGTCCTTTGCAGAGGGGGGGTGGTCTCCCAGTCTGTACCTGAATATGCCTCTTGTCACGGCACATTCACCTTCTCCAGTGTATAACCTGCATGATTTTATCTGATCCTCGTACCGCAGCTTCCTGAAAAGATAACAGGCCATGTTTGAACTAAACAGAATCATGGACATCCTTTTCTCATTATTGAGAGGCATCTGAAGTGTAAACTGAGATAAGGGATTTCAGGATAGTGCCCTTTCTGTCCGTGACACAGAAGCTGTTGAACATCCCTGATCTGCTTCAGCTTCAATGGAGAGCAGGGTATTCATGTCTACCTAGGGTGGCACTGTGGCATCAAACCTCAGCATTTGTGAGTTTGAATCATATTCCTATTGTGTGTATCGAGTTTCCACAGATTTCCTCCAGGTACTCCAGTTTCCTCCTGCAATCAAAAAACATGCAGTTTGGTGATTTGCTGTCTCTGAATGTGCATGTGTGTGCTCTGTGATGGACGGACATTCCATCCAGGGTGTATCACTTAGCTGGAACATCACCAGGACCCTGTTTGCATAAGCAGTTATGGAAGGTGAATGGGTGGATGTAAAATAAGGCTTGCTGTACAGTCTGTACAGGCAGTCCTCCAGTTTCAGTCATGATGATTGTGTAAGTCTGTCATTAAGTTGAATTTGTAGTTAAGTCGGAAAGGGAATATTAGGCTGTTCAAAAAAATAGCAGTGTCCACATTCTTCTTTACAAACTCAAACATTCACTGTATGAACTGAAAAATGATTTAAGATTTTGCTTTCGTTTTAAATCATCGAAGCAATATTTAGTTGCATAACCACTGTTTCTGAGAACTGCTGCACATCTGTCGACCAACTTCTGGCATCTATGAACAGGTATTCCAGCCCAGGATGACTGGACTACATTCTACAGTTCTGCATTTCTTTGTTTTGCCTCAGAAACAGCATTTTTGATGTCACCCTACAAGTTTTCTATTGGTTTAAGGTCCGAGGATTGGGCTGGCCACTCCATAACGTCAATCTTTTTGGTCTGGAACCAAAATGTTGCTCGTTTACTGGTGTGTTTGGGGTCGTTGTCTTGTTGAAACACCCATTTCAAGGGCATTTCTTCTTCGGCATAAGGCAACATGACCTCTTCAAGTATTCTGAGATATTCAAACTGATCCATGATCCCTGGTTTGCGATAAATAGGCCTGTCACCGTAGTATGAGAAACATCCCCATATCATGATGCTTGCACCACTATGCTTCACTGTCTTCACAGTGTACTGTGGCTTGAATTCAGTGTTTGGGGGTCATCTGACAAACTGTCTGTAGCCACTAGACCCAAACAGAACAATCTTGCTTCCATCAGTCCACAAAATGTTGTGCCATTTCTCTTTAGGCCAGTCAATGTGTTCTTTGGCAAATTGTAACCTCTTCAGCACGTGTCTTTTTTTCAGCAATTGGATTTTGCGGGGGCTTCTTGCCAGTAGCTTGGCCTCACATAGGCGTCATCTAATTGTAACAGTACTCACAGGTAACTTCAGACCTTTGATCTTCCTGGAGTTTTTTGGTTATTCTTCAGTCCATTTGAATGGTAGTTTTAATTGCCATAATTGACACCTGTTTTTTCACAGAATGAATGACCTCACTAATTGAACGTCACACTGCTATTACTTGTATTTTCAACACGCCCCTTTCAATTAATGATTCAATTACACAGAATCAGCAGCATGCATGTCATGACTGTTGGGTCTGTTGGTTTTCTATTACTCTACCACACCTACTAGTCAATTATTTGCCAGGTTGAAGAATAATTTCAACCAAAAACAGTGATTTATCAGGTTAGTGATGTCAGACTGCTATTATTTTGAACACAACTGTACATACATGTTTTATTTAGTGTCAATTCGTCAAATGCTTGTCTTAGTATTTAGTTTATATTTACTGTATTGTAATGTACCTGGAGCTGACAAAGTGCCGAAGCCGCACGATGTTTTCATGAACGTCACAAAGCAGTGTGTGCGTTCGTTATTATGACCCATTGTATCGACCTCAAATTTTTAATCTGATGGGCTTTACGGCAATAAGTACAAGTTTTCCATCAGCCGAACATTCATAGCCCAGGGACTGCCTGTACTTCACTGCTATGAAGCCCCAGCCACCAAAAGTCAAAATTCATCTCGGTACTTTCTATAACAGGGGTGGCGAACCTGTTTGCCATAATGAGCCAAAAAAAAATCTTTATCGCTGCAAAGAGCCACACAACAGATGTGCAAACAACAGTATCACAAATTATACACTTAATTACATAACAGAAT